TTTGAGACTCTCAGATCCAAGAAGGGTGCTCTCAGACTCATAGGGAGAGGGCCTTCTAGTCTTCAACGCTTGAGGGCCCCGCAATGATGGCCAAGTAATAACCGCCTGGTCCGCCCAAAGTCAGCCGCCGACCCCCAATTCCTCTGACGGTCCTTCAATTCGCAATAGTAACCTCCCCTGTCAAGCCCAACCACTCTTCTGAGCCTCAACACCCCTTCGTAGCCTGATCACCGTTACACGGCAACCTGGAGTACCGACGGACTCCACAGAATCTCAGCAGACCACCATACGCTCACCACCCGTATGCAACTGCAAGGTGTTTTAGCCACATAAAGCAGAAGCTTCACCATGTTGCCGCGTTGTTCAACAATTCGTCGGCACTTAACACATCAGATACTGACCGTAGCAGTTAGCCCGAGGCAGCCTGCGGTCACCAACGGCAGTCAAAGGCTTACCGGGCAGAGGCTCATCAACCGGTGGCTCGGCGAGCAATAACAGCCTCCCCAACAGATCTTCCAAGCTGCAGCATTGACCTTCCTATTCTACGAACTCTGATCCTGCCGCAGCTTACGACTCAACAGGGCTGTGCAGAAGTTTGCTAGCTCACGGCTCTCTCCGAGCTACCTCGCGACTGATCCCACACTCCCTCTATGGATACCGGTCGGGCGRAGCGACGCACCAGCTACCAGGTAAGTCTATGCAWWTTCGAATGAATCTCCCGCTAGAAATAGGGAGGATTCGTTATTCTCTCGGTCATGCGTGTCGAGAGAAACGAGACYCMCTGATGCCTCGAACGTGGCTCCGGGTGACAGGTAAGTCCCCCAAACTCGACTGTCCTTCCCGCCGCAGTCGTTGACACCTCAAAAAGATGAATGGATCTGGCCCCGGGACCGGGCCAGGTTCAATCACACTTACTGACTCCACCCTCGGGCGCAACTCCCTAGCGACGGTGCGCGAAAGCCAACCACTAACTCTCAAAACTAACCTTACTACTCGGTTCGCCTCATCCCCTACCCCCAGTTTCGCCTCCTATCCCGCTCGAATCCATCGAGAATCGAGCGGGATTCAGAACTTTCGCTCCCGCTGTTACCCCTCCCGCCATAGCCTCCTCGCCCACCTTCTCTCTACTAACTCCTTCCTTACTAACTCAACACTAAAACTAACCCTACCGGTGAGCTCGCCTTATCAGAAAACCCCTACCCCGAACTTTATCCCAGTCGATTTTAACTAGAATCGAGTGGTATCTCGACTTCCCACTCTCGTAATCACTCCTCCCACCATAACTCGGCGCAGTCTTTTCTCTTCGTTTCTTCTACTCTACTAACTTTCGCCCCTTTCCGATGAAACCATTCAATTCGCCTCGTCAAAAAATCCCAACTTACCATCTCTTCTCACCCGAACCCATCAAGGATCAAGTGGACTCTCGAACCTTCCCTCCGGTCACCTCTCTATCCGCCATCCCCTTCGTTGCATGCACCCAGCGCCCTTCCCCGACCAGGTGCATTTGCCTTCTTTGCTACCTTAATGCCCGTAGCTGCTGCCTCATCGCTTGTCTCTGCGCTGGCTCCGCCTCGCCCCCGCTGTTGCCCGTCGCTCCCCACCAGCCTGTCGCTCGCTTCCTCCTCGCCTTGCACCACGGCTCATTACTTSGCCATGCCCGATCTCCCCCGCCCTCACCTCCAACGCACCCGAAAGAGAAAGATCAAGGGAAGAGRAGGAGAGACCGAACGGATGGAGGGAGATGACAGAGGGAACCCGGGGGCGAGCAGAGACGGAGAGGAGACGCGCGCGCGCTCGCGCGCGCGCGCGCGAGAGAGAGAGAGAGAGAGAGAGAGAGAGAGAGAGAGAGATGTGGACTACGAAAACCGTCGGGATCGACGGAGCGGACGGAATGCATAGACATCATTAGACATACAGAGAGGCGGGTTGGGTGCGTGAAGGGTATGTTGGGATCGGAGGAAGAAACGTCCCGAGAACGGTCGTTGGTAGGCGATCGAAACCAGTCGGGAATCGGCCTATTCAGATTGATTGAGTGGTACTTTTCAAAAATAGTGTGTTCACGGGAAAAGTTATAAGACCTCCCCTCAGACGAAACCTTCGTATTCATTTTGCCCCAAACGGAGGCAAAAGTGTCGCAGACCCCGAAATGACTTTTCCTGTCATTTTTGCACGTTTGCTGGGGCCGTCACGCCCGCTGGCAAAAATGGCGGGAAAGTGTTTTCCAAGGTGCAAAAATTACGCCAAAAGTCATTTCGGGGCGGGCCACACTTTTTGCCCCGTTTGGGGGGAAATGAGTACAAAGGTTTCGCCGCGGGGAAGTTTTATGACTTTTCCCAAAAAAAAAAAAATTGCCGTCGGGGTCCCAAATTCATTGCAAAAGWGCATCTTTCGGAACCCGACAACATCTCCGCTGGCAAACTTCGAAAACGCTTTATTTCTGCAGTTAGGGCATCGCCGCCGCGCCACTCTCCAAATGTGCAAAATGAGAATGAGCTTCGCC